ATGCTAAATATCTTAGCTCTAGTTCTTAGGGTTTTTTAAATTATTATATAATTTATTTATTTAATTATTATATTGTTTTTATATGCCCGAAAGAATTTCGGCTGCCCGAAAGAATTTCGGGCATATTATGTTATACCCCCTGGCGTCCGTCTGTCCAACCGTCCGTTAGCAATTTGGTTTCCGGAGCATAACTTAAGTTCCATTTGGCCCACAGTATTCAAACTTCATAGGATGATTGCCCATATTGGGTCAAAGACCCCTATTGATTTTGGGGTCACAAGGTCAAAGGTCAAGGTCACTATTAGCTAAATACTGAAAATGGTTTCCGGAGCATAACTTAAGTTCCATTTGGCCCACAGTATTCAAACTTCATAGGATGATTGCCCATATTGGATAGAAGACCCCTATTGATTTTTGGGTCACAAGGTCAAAGGTCAAGGTCACTATTAGCTAAATACTGAAAATGGTTTCCGGAGCATAACTTAAGTTCCATTTGATTCACAGTATTCAAACTTCATTGGATGATTGTCCATATTAAGTAGAAGACCCCTATTGATTTTGGGGTCACAAGATCAAAGGTCAAGGTCACTATTAGCTTAATACTGAAAATGGTTTCCGGACCATAACTTAAGTTCCATTTGGCCCACAGTATTCAAACTTCATAGGATGATTGCCCATATTGGGTCAAAGACCCCTAACGATTTAGGGGTCACAAGGTCAAAGGTCAAGGTCACTATTAGCTTAATACTGAAAATGGTTTCTGGAGCATAACTTAAGTTCCATTTGGCCCACAGTATTCAAACTTCATAGGATGATTGTCCATATTGGGTAAAAGACCACTATTGATTTAGGGGTCACAAGGTCAAAGGTCAAGGTCACTATTAGCTTAATACTGAAAATGGTTTCCAGAGCATAACTTAAGTTCCATTTGGCCCATAGTATTCAAACTTCATAGGATGATTGTCCATATTGGGTAGAAGACCCCTATTAATTTTAGGGTCACAAGGTTAAAGGTCAAGGTCACTATTAGCTAAATACGTAAAATGGTTTCCGAAGCATAACTTAAGTTCCATTTGACCCACAGTATTCAAACTTCATAGGATGATTGTCCATATTGGGTAGAAGACCCCTATTGATTATGGGGTCACAAGGTCAAAGGTCAAGGTCACTTTAAGCTTAATACTGAAAATGGTTTCTGGAGCATAACTTAAGTTCCATTTGGCCCACAGTATTCAAACTTCATAGGATGATTGTTCATATTGGGTAGAAGACCCCTATTGATTTTGGGGTCACAAGGTCAAAGATCAAGGGATTGCTATCACCTTTAAACTGGAAACAGTTTTTGCTCAATAACTCAAGTATTAATCGAACTACAGCTGTAAAATTTTATAGGATTAACAGCTTTATACCCCTGACGTCTTGGTGTCCATCCATTGTAGCATTTTTACTTACAAGATAACAACTTGATGGTGGTGCTTTGAAAACAGCAACTGTATATATACATGAATGTTCTTCAGCTATAAAGGATTGCTTTTTGAAGGAGGTAATACTGTATTTAATTCCCATGTCTTCCTCACTAAAAGAAAAAGTACTTTCGGGCATATAATGCTCCGCCTAGCGGTGCTCTTGTTAGCTCACCTGTCACACCTGTCACAAAGTGACATGGTGAGCTTTTGTGATCGCTTTTCGTCCGGCTTTCTGCCATAAACTATTACTTTAAACAACATCACCTCATAAACCGCTAAGCCAATTTCATCCAAACTTCACAGGAATGTTCCTTTGGTGGTCAACTTGTTCACAGAATTTAATTCCATGCAGAACTGGCAACCGAAAGAAAAAACTTAAAAAATATTCTTGCTTTTCCTTATATGTATATAGTAAAAACTTAAAAAATCTCCTTAAAAAAACCCCAAAGTGTTGGAGCTTAAATATTAAGCTTGAAACATCTTCTGGTGAGTGTCTACCTAGTTTGTTCAAATAAAAGCCCTGGGATCAAAATTGACCCCGCCTCGGGGTACCGATTTTACATGAATGTCTATAGTAAAAACTTCAAAAATTCTCTTTTAAATAACCCATAGAGCTAGAGCTTAGATCTTAAGCAAGAAACATCTTTTAGTGAGTGTCTACCAAATTTGTTCAAATAAAAGCCTCAAGGGTTAAATTGGCCACACCCCAGGGGTCTGATTTTCCTTATATGTCTATAGTAAAAACTTAAAAAATCTTCTGTTAAAAAACCCAAATTTATCATGAAACATCTTCTAATGGGTGTCTACCAAGTTGGTTTAAAAAAAGCCCCTGGGTTAAAATTAGCCCCGCCCCTAGAGCCTATATACAGGTGAGCGATTTCAGGGCCATCATGGCCCTCTTGTTTTGGCTCATCTGGAGGCAGCTTTCCCAATAGAGATGAAACTACAATTTATTATGCCCCCCTTCGAAGAAGAGGGGGTATATTGTTTTGCTAATGTCGGTCTGTCTGTCTGTCTGTCTGTCTGTCTGTTCGTCGGTAGACCACATGGTTTCCGCTGATTATCTTGAAAAGTATGTATCACAAAGTCTTCATATTTCACATAGTGATTGGTTATAACTAGTAAATGACCCCTATTGATTTTGGGGTCACTAGGTCAAAGGTCAAGGTCACAGGGACCTTAAATGTCAAAATGGTTTCCGCTGATTATCAAGAAAAGTATGTATCACAAAGTCTTCATTTTTCACATAGTGATTGGTTATAACTAGTAGATGACCCCTATTGATTTTGGGGTCACTAGGTCAAAGGTCAAGGTCACAGGGACCTTAAATGTCAAAATAATTTCCGCTGATTATCGTGAAAAGTATGTATCACAAAGTCTTCATATTTCACACAAAGATTGGTCATCACTAGTAGATGACACCTTTTGATTTTGGGGTCACTAGGTAAAAGGTCAAGGTCACAGGGGCCTTAAATGTCAAAATGGTTTCCGCTGATTATCTTGAAAAGTATGTATCACAAAGTCTTCATTTTTCACATAGTGATTGGTCATCACAAGTAGATGACCCCTATTGATTTTTGGGTCACTAGGTCAAAGGTCAAGGTCACAGGGGCCTTAAATGTCAAAATAATTTCCGCTGATTATCTTGAAAAGTATGTATCACAAAGTCTTCATATTTCACACAAAGATTGGTCATCACTAGTAGATGACCCCTTTTGATTTTGGGGTCACTAGGTCAAAGGTCAAGGTCACAGGGGCCTTAAATATCAAAATGGTTTCCGCTGATTATCTTGAAAAGTATGTATCACAAAGTCTTCATATTTCACATAGTGATTAATCATCACAGGAAGATGACCCCTATTGATTTTGGGTTTGCTAGGTCAAAGGTCAAGGTCACAGGGGCCTTAAATGTCAAAATGGTTTTCGTTGATTTTTCCATAATTGAACACTTCCATGTACCCATTTTTGGCAAGTTTCTGTAATAAAATTACCAATTATGTGAGTCAATGGCTAGAAAGGGGGGTATATGTGTAGTTTGACATTCTTGTTTAGAAATGATCCTTGGATGTGGTTCTCTGTAAAAATTGCTCAAATGATTCTGATCTGCCAAAAAATATGGCTTCACAGCAGGGCAAAAAATAAGAATCTTTTAATAATATTTACTTCACAAACACTGAGTGAAACTTCACAGGAATGATCATTAGGTTAGCTTTTACAAAAAGTGCTGTATACTTGAGTCAAGATGGCAAATTGGGGTTAACATGACCGAAAACTAACTTTGCACCAAAGCCATATAGGCCCTATACAAACTCTGCACAGGTCAGCGATTTGTAGGAACCTAAGATATGTTTCTTTCATATCTTTTTTATGGCGTAACCCCATCATTCCGTCAGTTTCCATTCATTATCTTGGCAACAGTTGGACACATTCAACTCAAATTTGACATATGGATATATCATACGAAAATGCAGGTCAAGTTCAAATTTGGTCATGGTCTGATGATTTTTGACAGAGTAATGCCCCTTGAAGAAATTTTCAGTTTCTGTTCATTATCTCCCCAACAGTTGTACACATTCAACTCAAATTTGACATATGCATCCAACATAGGAATGTGCAGGTAAATTTCAAATTTGGTCATGGTCCGATGATTTTGGACAAAGTAATCCCTCTTGAACTTTGAAAAAAAAAAATTCAGTCTCCGCACTGTTTGTTTAAGTGTAGGTACATGTATTAAACTGGAAAATTCAAGTCAAGTTCGAATTTGGCTTTGATCCAATGATTTTTGACAGAGTTATCCTTCTTGAACTTAGAAAAAAAGGAGAATTTTTAGTTTCTGCTTTAACTTTTGTAGGAATGTATGTCCGATGTATGTTGCATGTGCTGGTATTTTACCAGAAAAAAAAGTCAAGTTGTAATTTGGTCATGGTTAGATGTTTTTGGACATTTATCCCCCTTAAACTTGGAAAAGATTTAAAAATTCACAATATCTAATCATGATCTCAACTACAAATGCAATTTGCAAAAGGTTAACACTGAAAAGTTCCAGGGCCTTGAACTTTGTATAGAAATGGTTTGTGTTAACATTGAATAGTTTAAGAGCTTTGAATTTAGAATGAAAAAATGGTTTGTGAAATAAATTTGGAACTAAATTTCAAATTTGAAATTTTGGATTGAATCAGTATGTTGTTAGGTTTTTAAAAGTAGGTGGAGCTGACCTGTGTAAGAGTTGACCCATTTGGAGTTAGTTAAGGATCGAGTTGATCCATGCCGAGTTAGTTTAGGGTCGAGTTGACCCTTTACCAAGATGGTTGCTGAAGCTAAAAATAGAAATAATCTTAAAGCTTCCTTGTCAACTCACAGGAAAATTTTGATTTATGAAATGACCTAAATACTTATAATGAAATCTTGTCCATGTAAACCTTATCCGAGCCATTTCGTTCTATCAGGTCCCTCTTTGGTATTTCTTTAAAAAATATTTCATATATATATTTGGCTACATCAAAACTTGACAGTCTGTGTGATTTTTTTTCACAGTTTGTTTGTTTTGGTGGATCACCAAATAGAATGAAAAAGTTTGCTGAGTTTATGGTGAAAGAACTGGGTGTAAAGATTCCAGCAGGTATGGCACTAACAAACATCTCACATGGTTCAGACAGATATGTCCTCTACAAGGTTGCATCTGTACTCTCAGTTAGTGTAAGTATTTATAAACTTTTTTCCTTAACTATGAAAGCTATTGACTTGAAACTTCATAAACAGTACTCTGCACTTCTTGAGTTATTGCCCTTTGTTAATTTTCTGACTTTATTTTTGTCCGGGCCATTTCTCCTAAACTATAAAAGTTTTTGACTTGAAACTTCATAGGGTGATAGATCTTATTGACAAGAAGTGCAGTGTATAAAAACTGGTACTCTGCACTTCTTATTTATTTAGTTATTGCCCTTTGTTAATTTTCTTACTTTATTTTTGTCTGGACAATTTCTCCTAAACTATAAAAGCTTTTGACTTGAAACTTCATAGGGTGATAGATCTTATTGATATGAAGTGCAGTGTATATTAAAAACTGGTACTTTTTGAGTTATTGCCCTTTTTGCCTAATTTTCATATTTCATTCTTGTTCAGGCCATTTCTCCTAAACTATAAAAGCTATGGATATAATCCTTCATAGGATGATAGATCTCATTGAGAAGAAGTGCAGTGCAAAAAAACTGGCACTCTGTACTTCATGATTTTAGAGTTATTTCCCTTAGTTGATAATAATACTTTATTTTTGTCCCAGTCATTTCACCTAAACTATAAAAGCTATGGACTTGAAACTTCATAGGGTGATAGACATTATTTGTTAATTATATTATAATTTATTCTTCTACACTGTGAATAAAAGCTATTCAAGCTACATCAATCCTGATGTAACATTGTTACAATCAGTTCAAATGCCACTAAAGTTCAAAGTACATGTACATTATAAGAGTGGTGTTTATAAATAACCTATATTTAAGAAGAATATGCCTAAGTGACAGTTAAACTGTTCACAAGGCGACACATCAGACTTGCGGAGTCCTAGTTTATAATGTAAATCTTAACAGATATATTTATATGAAATGTTAATTTAGGATACAATTCATGACTTCTTAACTAAGGATTACTTTTAGCAATGGCTTAACAGTTCTTGCCCAATGGCAATAGCTATAGTTTCTATTTAATAATATCTTGTTCAGTATTATTTATACATTTATATATTTACAAAAACAATAATATGTTTGATTAATGATAACTGAAAAATTGTCAAATTTGATGCATTTCTGTCCTAATGACACATATGTTGATAAAGACTTCTTATTATTCCTTTATTTTCCCTCGCTGAAAGGCGGCGGGGGATATAGAAATAGTCTCCGTCCGTCCTTCGGTCCGTCCGTCCTTCCGTCCGACATTTTTGTCCAGAGCATATCTCAAAAAGTATTTGAGTTATCAACTTGACATTTCATAGGCGGATAGATCATATTGAGGAGTGCAGTGCACAAGAATGATAACTCTACCCTGCATAATTTTTCAATTATTGCCCTTTGTTATTTTTCAAACTTAATTTTTGTCCAGAGCATAACTCAAAAAGTTAATAAGATATCAACATGAAACTTCATAGGTGGATAGATCTCACTCAGGAGGTGTGCAGTGCACAAGAATGATAACTCTACCCTTCATAATTTTTGAGTTATTGCCCTTTGTTATTTTTTATACTTAATTTTTCACCTGAGTGGAGCATAACTCAAAAAGTCTTTGAGATGTCAACATGAAACTACATAGGTGGAAAGATCTCATTGAGGAGGAGTACAGCACACAAGAATGATAACTCTTTCCATTATAATTTTTGAGTTGTTGCCCTTTGTTATTTTTCATGCTTAATTTTTGTCCAGAGCATAACTAAAAAGCTTTTGAGATATCAACATGAAACTTCATAGGTGGATAGGTCTAATTGAGGAGGAATGCAGCCCACAAAAATGATAACTCTACCCTGCATAATTTTTCAGTTATTGCCCGTTGTTATTTTTCAAACTTAATTTTTGTCCAGAGAATAACTCAAAAAGTTTATGAGATATCAACATGAAACTTCATAGGTGGATAGATCTCACTCAGGAGGTGTGCAATGCATAAGAATGATAACTCTACCCTTCATATTTTTTGAGTTATTGCCCTTTGTTATTTTTAGTCCCCTACCGGTTTACCGGAGGGGACTTTAGGTTTACCCTCCGTCCGTCTGTCCGTCTGTCTGTCCGTCCGTCTGTCCGTCCGTCAGTCCGTCCGTCCACAAAACTGGATCCCGCGATAACGCAAAAAGTACTGAAAATATTTTAATGAAACTTGATATATGGATAGATGGCAGTATGGAGATTATGCACGTCTTTTTCTTTACTTCCTATGTTGAAAATTCTGGTTGCTATGGCAACAAATAGACTGAAAATATGGCAAATTTTACACATAACCTGGATCCCGCGATAACGCAAAAAGTACTGAAAATATTTTTATGAAACTTGATATATGGATAGATGGCAGTATGGAGATTATGCACGTCTTTTTCTTTTTTTCCTATGCTGAAAATTCTGGTTGCTATGGCAACAAATAGACTGAAAATATGGCAAATTTTACACATAACCTGGATCTAGTGATAACGCAAAAATTACTGAACATATTTTTATGAAACTTGACATATGGGTAGATGTCAGTATGGAAATTATGCACATCCTTTTCTTATCTTCCTGTGTTGAAAATTCTGGTTGCTAGGGCAACAAATAGACTGAATTTCAAGATTTCTGATTCTAGTTTTTAAGTTTTTTCACTATAAGTTCTTTATTTCTTAAGGTATTTTCTTCAAACTTTAAATATAAGTTGCTAGTCATCAACCACATCATATGTGACAAAGTCTACAACTCTAGCACAAACTTTATCAGAATTACCTCCCTTGAACTTAAAATTTTCATGAAAAAAACATTGTTTTTTTTAATAACTTCTTTTTTTCTGAATGTATCTACTTCAAACTTCATATAAATGTTTCTTTTTATCACTCAACATTTGTGAGTGTTCAATACTCTAGCAAGACTATTTCCAGAAATATGCCCCTTTTGAACTTAGACTTTTTTTTGAGAAATTGGTAATTTTTACTCCAACTTCTTCAATCATGATAGGATTTTCTTCAAACTCCAACATCATAATAATATGACAAGGTTTATAAATCTAGCATCCATATTTCCAGAATTATCTCCTCCTTAAACTTTTAATTTTTCCTATTCGTTCTTTTAACTTTCATTTACTTCAAATTCAAAATAAACATTCAATATTCATACCTTCATTACTAATTATTCTTTGATACACTCACATCATGTATGACATCGTTATCTCCTTTTTTTAAAATTTTGCTTTTAAAAATGTTATATTTTGATAACAGGGATGTTTAAAAAATAACTGTAGAGTGTCCTTCAGTCCGTCTGTCTGTCTGTACATAAAAACTGTTCACTGCTATCACTTTTAAAGAACTTTTTCAACAAATTTACTTAAAATAGAAACATAAGTGAATGGCCAATGGCCCTTCAGAATGTTGCTTGGGCTCTTACCGGTAGGGGACTTATGGATTGCTTGCAATACTATGATTATTGCTTGTTTATAATTAATTTTTCTTCTGAGTGGAGCATAACTCAAAGGTCTTTGAGATGTCAACATGAAACTTCATTGGTGGAAAGATCTCATTGAGGAGGAGTGCAGCAAACAAAAATGATAACTCTTCCCATTATAATTTTTGAGTTATTGCCCTTTGTTATTTTTCATACTTAATTTTTGTCCAGAGCATAACTAAAAAACCTTTGAGATATCAACATGAAACTTCATAGGTGGATAGGTCTCATTGAGGAGGAGTGCAGCACACAAGAATGATAACTCTACCCTACATAATTTTTCAGTTATTGCCCTTTGTTATTTTTCAAACTTAATTTTTGTCCAGAGCATAACTCAAAAAAGTTTATGAGATATCAACATGAAACTTCATAGGTGGATAGATCTCACTCAGGAGGTGTGCAGTGCACAAGAATGATAACTCTACCCTTCATAATTTTTGAGTTATTGCCCTTTGTTATTTTTTATACTTAATTTTTCACCTGAGTGGAGCATAACTCAAAACTTGAAACTTCATAGGTGGATAGATCTTATTGAGGAGGAATGATGTGCACAAAAATGATAACTCTTCCCATTATAATTTTTCAGTTATTGCCCTTTGTTATATTTATTGCTTAATTTTTGTCCAGAGCATAACTAAAAAGCCTTTGAGATGTCAACATGAAACTTCAAAGGTGGATAGGTCTCAATGAGGAGGAGTGCAGCACACAAGAATGATAACTCTACCCTGCATAATTATTTGAGTTATTGCCCTTTGTTATTTATCATGCTTAATTTTTGTCCAGAGCATAACTATAAAAGCCTTTGAGATATCAACTTGAAACTTCATAGGTGGATAGATCTCATTAAGGAGGAGTGCAGCAAACAAAACTGATAGTCTACCCTGCATTAGTTTTCAGTTAATTGCCCTTTGTTATTTTCAGCCATCAGTATTCACATAGGTTTTAAATCTGTAATCACTTCAGCCATCAGTTTTCATTACCAAAAGACCTCTTAAAATTGAATTATTCTGCTCTACTACATATACATTCTTCCAATGAGCAAACACATTCGGCAAGGGATGGCCATGTTGACATGGCTCTTGTTAATAACTGCATCAGTCTGTGACATAAAAAGTCCTTGAACTGACTTATACATGAATCATTACCCCTTTACCTCATATAGATGTGTTTTGACGGCTTTTCGCCCCCACCCCCTTTTTGAGGCCTCAAACAGTAAAAAAATGGCCTATTTAGGCCCTAAACACTTTTTTTCATTTGAGAAATGTTGATAGAAAAGTGATAACTTTTTTGGCGCCGCCTCCTATCAAAAAGGTACATCAAGGAGTTGCCAGAAGGTGGATGTGCACCCTTCTGTTTCATGGGTTTGAAGGGGGGCCGCAGCCCCCTTCATGGCCAAGAAACTTTTGGACATGTGACAAAAATGGCCTCGGCTGAGGTCGATCGTTAGGTAAGGTTACCAATGCTGAAAAGCCTTTTTAAATTGTCTCAATCCACTGAGAAGTTGCAGCACTTTGAAATCAGTTTTGATGGAAAAAAACAATGCAAAATAGTGATTTTTGGCAATTTTGAGACATCCCCTGTTGCCATGGTAACAGGAAATTAAAGATTGAGCATGCTGTTACAGAGGCTATGGTCCAGTCAACATTTGTGCCAAGTTTCATCAGTATTGAAGTCTTTTTCATAGTTTCATAGCAGTTTTAAATTGTAACAGGAGGCTTTTTAATGAAAACAGTCATTTTTCACAATATGCTCATGTTGTTTAACCCACATATAGGGTTAATGTGATTTTCATTTTAAGCTTGACTGTTCAAGAAAATAGTCTAGCTATTTTTGTAATAGTCAAGCTATTTTTGTAGTCATGGTGCTGTAGCTAATGGCTAGTATATCATTGTTATTATGTCTGAAAACATATTTTTTTTGCCTTCATCTTCTGTCCGTCCGTCCCTCCATCCATCCATCCGTCCGCACAACCAAATAGGGTTAGGAGGCCATCTAACAATAAATGAACAAAAGAGTATTATAGAGTTCATTCCGTAACAATAGAGTAAGGGGCCATTGGCCCTCTATTAAACAAAGGAATAAAACAAAAGAAATTGCCCCTTTTTCCATTTTGGCCGGATGTCCATTTGTCAGGCTACCACAGGCACGTTTTGCTTCGCTGCATAAAATGGCCGCCAGAGCTAAGAGTAGAAGAATTTTTTCCGGCTTTCACAGGTAAAACTGCTTATGGGATTTCATCGCTGCACAAAATAGCTGGCAGAGCTAAAAATTAAAAATTCCTGTCCATTTCATCCGCAATAAGCTTGTCAGGCCTTCACAGGTCAAAATATTGCTGGATTTCAACCAAACTTTAAAGGAGTGACCAGTACCATCCCTAGTTGTGCACATCCCCGGCATGTTCTGCTTCGCTGCACAAAATGGCCACCAGAGCTAAAAATAGAAAAATCTTGTCCGGCTCACAGGTCAGACTACTGGTAGGATTTCAACCAAACTTTACAGGAGTGATCAGTACCATTCCTAGTTGTGCACATCACTGGTATGTTCCGCTTAGCAGCATAAAATGGCCACCAGAGCTAAAAACAGAAAAATCTTGTCAGACCTTCACAGGTCAACCTACGGGTGGGGTTTCAACCAAACTTTACAGGAGTGATAATTATCATCTTTAGTTGTGCATTTTTTGCTGGCATGTTCTGCTTTCCTGCTTAAAATGGCTGCCAAAGCCAAAAATAGAAAAATCTTGTCCGGCCTTCACAGGTCAAACTTCTGGTCAGATTTCAGCCAAATTTTACAGGAGTTGTCAGTACCATCCCTAGTTGTGCATATCATGGCATGTCCTGCTTTGCTGCACAAAATGGCCGACTCAGAGCTATAAATAGAAAAATCTTGTCCGGCTTTCACAGGTCAAGCTACTGGTTGGATTTCAATGAAACTTCACGAGTGATCATTACCATCCCTATTTGTGCATATCGCCAGCATGTTTTGCTTTGCTGCACAAAATGGCTACCAGAGCTAAATATAGTAAAATCCTGTCCGGCTATCAGAGGTCAAAATGCTGGCGGGATTTCCACCAAAATTCACTGGAGTGATCAGAACCATACATTGTTTTGGGAGACATAATTATGTTTTTGTGACAAAAACCCTTCTAGTTATTGAATGGATTGACATCATATCATAGCAGAACAATCTTCATGTATATTAAACTTACATTGACCTTGTCTCATGTATGACCTTGAAGGTTAAATAATTGAATGTTCATTGATTTTTGCTATAATTGACTGTAACTTGGTAATTAACTTCATACTCTGACAAAACAGCATTTTTCACAAGACCTTTTAAGGCTGAACCTACCTTAACCTTTAAATGACCTTGACTGTTAAGGTAAAATTTGAACTTTTTCAATTGTCATTATTTTGTTATGTATGTTCGGATTTAAACTTGGATAAAACAAGACTTGCTACTAAACAAACATATTAAATAATTTAGATGTGACCTTGATCTTAAGTTGACTGTCAAGGTCAAATTAATGAATTCCTGTTTTTTTTCTCTTTATCTGGCTATAAATTTGTTATTAATAAATGGATTAACTTCATATTAAGATACCACATCTTTAGGTCAAGACCTTCATGTATATCAAACTAACTTTGACCTTGACTCATGTATGACTCTTACCTTGAAGGTCAGATTATTTAAATTCCACTCATCACTATTTTTGGCTGTAACTTGGAAATAAATATCATACTTGGACAAAACAACCTTTTGGACAAGGCATTCTAAAAGGTTCAACTGACCTTGACCTTGAGCTTTAAATGACCTTGACCATCAAGGTCAAAGTATTGAATTTTTTTTAAATTGTCATATACGGATTTGACTCATTTTTTTTCTTTAATTTTCTTTTTAAAGATTATTCAAACCATTTACTTGTTTGCTTTAAGAAAAAGTAAAAAAGCTGAGCATTGACCCCGCCCGCTCTTGTTAGTCATACTTTGGACAAAAGAACACTTATGAAACCACATTGTTTCATTATTAAAGTTTGACCTGCAACATCAAGGTCACATTTTTGTTAAATTACCATGACTTTATAATTTCATTGGTACATGGACAGTGCAACACTAATGGCAACACAGAAAATGTTGAATAATTAAATACAACCTTGATCTATAGATGACCTTGACTGTCAAAGTAAGATATGAAATTTTAATAAAATTCTGTACAAAGGTCAGGGTCACAGGGGCCTTAAATGTCAAAATGGTTTCTGCTCGTTATCTTGGTTACTATTTATCACAAAGTCTTCATATTTCACATATTGATTGGTTGTAACTAGAAGATGGCCCCTATTGATTTTGGGGTCACCAGGTCAAAGGTCAAGGTCACAGGTATGAATGGTAGTGTGTCAGCTTTTTATCTTGAAAGCTAATTATCACAAAGTCTTCATATTTCACATAGATTGGTCATAACCAGTAGATGACCTGTATTGCTTTTGGGATCACTAGTTCAAAGGTCAAGGTCACAGGGGCCATAAAGGGACTCCACTGAGGTTTTTTGACATGACGGGACTGGGAATATTTTTTTGTGATTATTACTCTATTTGATGTAGATCTATACTAATAACTTATGTGCAAAATTTCAGATCAATACCTCGCTCCATTTTACCACAATAATTATTATAATAGTGAAAAATGACCCAAAATTGAAAAGCGTTTAAACGCTTTTCACTCAAATCCGCCTGAGAATAGCACAAAGATATGGTTTTCATATCCATTTTACCATAATAATTATTATAATAGTGAAAAATGACCCAAAATTGAAATGCGTTTAAACGCTTTTCACTCAAATCCGCCTGAGAATAGCACAAAGATATGGTTTTCAATGTATTTCTTGTGTATTTCTTAGTTATATATTTTATTGATATTTCGGTTTAAAGTGCGCAAGTTTATCTATGTGAAAAAATGAAATGTTATGTTTTAGGCTTATAAACCGCAGTGGAGTTCCTTTAAATGTCAGAATTGTTAACACTTTTATCTTAAAACTATTGATCACAAAGTCTTCATATTTCACATAATGATTGTTTATAACGAGTAAGTGACCCTTATTGATTTTGGGGTCACAAGGTCAAAGGTCAAGGTCACAGGGTCCTTGAATGTTAGTTTGGTTTCCGCTCATTATCTTACAAGCTATTTATCACAAAGTCTTCATATTTCTAATATTGATTGGTCATAACTATTAGATGACCCCTATTGATTTTGGGTCACTAGTTCAAAGGTCAAGATCACAGGGGCCTTAAATTTTAGAATGGTTTCTGCTCATTATCTTGAAAACTTTTTATAACAAAGTCTTCATTATTTTTCTTTTTCCATAACTGAACACTTCCATGTACCCATTTATGGCAAGTTTCTATAACAAAATTACCAATAATGTGAGTCAAGGGCTAGAAAGGGGGGCATATGTGTTGTTCGACATTTCTTGTTAATATCAATTTCAAATGTATATATATTTTTAAACAAAATGTATATATCTATAATCAAATTGTTAACTAAATACAATACATTTTACAGCATGGCATGGGCATTCCATCATTATCAATTGTGTTTCATGAAGTATTGAAGTTATTGCATTATGCTAAATGTACTGATGTAAAATTCTTCAGACTAGGCACAAGTGGAGGGCTAGGTAAATATGTACATTACAATTCAAGGACTGGTAAAACTTAGATTAGTTATGCCAGCAGTTTAGCAGTTGAAATTTAAAAATACCTTTGAAATTCACATTACAAAAATAGTGAGGTCAGTTTATTTATATCAGTCTGCTATGTTTATAGGTATCGTTAAGTATAGAACTTAACACATGTTTAGAATACCCCAATACTAAACAAGGATATGGCATCTTTGGGGAGTACTCATAATATATTTAGATGATTATAATTGAGGGATTTGAACTCGTATGTCAATCTCATTGTATTTTATGAAAGACTACATCATATTGTTGAAAATCTACATAGGAAGGCAATATGTTAATGATTTTAACATGTAAATGAAAAGATATAATTGATATATCAATTAAATTAATTAACCAGTGTACATGTATATTACAGGTATTGAACCAGGAAGTGTTGTCATTACTGAAGCAGCTGTAGATGGACTCTTACGACCATATATGGAAGTTGTGAGTGTTTATACAACCATCAGTTTGTTGATCCTTATGATATGTAACAGTTTTATTAGTTTAATTATCACATGTTAACAACTTGCTGAAAGTAATTTGAAAAGGCGACATATAGGGGTTACTTTTGTCGTCGTTATCGGCGTCCCCTAAGGCTTGTCCGGAGCATAACTCAGTCACTTTAAGTTGGATTGACTCCAAACTTGGTATGCATGCTTCTTTCAATAACCCAAAGTGCACTGCACAAGAACCGGTACTCTGCACTTCTTAATTTTTGAGTTATTGCCCTTTGTTAATTTTCATACTTTAATATTGTCCGGACCATTTCTCCTAAACTTTAAAAGCTTACGGATTTGAAACTTCATAGGATGATAGATCTCATTAAAAAGAAGTGCAGTGCTCAAGAACCAGTACTCTGCACTTCTTATTAGCTCGACTATACGAAGTATATGGAGAGCTGTCCTACTCGCCCCGGCGTCGGCGGTCGCGTCCAGATTTTAGATTAAAGTTTTGGTGCAGTAAAATATTTTTCACTATAACTTTGTCAGTTCCTTATCATCAACCACATCTTATGTGACAAGGTTCATAACTCTAGCACCAATATTTTCAGATTTATCTCCCCTTGAACTTAGAATTTTCCTTAAAAAATACTAATTTTTAGCTCACCTGTCACAAAGTGACAGGGTGAGCTTTTGTGATCGCTTTTCGTCCGGCGTCCGGCGTCCGGCGTCCGTCGTCCGTAAACTTTTACTTTAAATGACATCTCCTCATAAACCACTAAGCCAATTTCATCCAAACTTCACAGGAATGTTCCTTTGGTGATCACCTTTAAAAATTGTTCAAAGAATTTAATTCCATGCAGAACTCTGGTTGCCATGGCAACCAAAAGAAAAAAACTTAAAATATCTTTTTCTAAAAAACCCAACGAGCTAGAGCTTAGATTTTTGGCATGAAACATCTTCTGGTGAGTGTCTACCAAGTTTGTTCAAATAAAAGCCCTTGGGTCAAAATTGGCCCCACCCCAGGGGGTCATTGATTTTCCCTATATGCATATAGTAAAAACTTAAAAAATCTTCTTTTAAAGAACCCAAAGAGCTAGAGCTTAGATATTTAGCATGAAACATCTTCTAATGGGTGTCTAGCAAGTTTGTTCAAATAAAAGCCCTAGGGTAAAAATTGGCCCTGCCCCAGGGGGTCATTGATTTTCCCTATATGCATATAGTAAAAACTTAAAATATTCTTCTTTTAAAGAACCAAAAGAGCTAGAGCTATGATATTTAGCATGAAACATCTTCTAATGGATGTCTACCAAGTTTGTTCAAATAAAAGCCCTGGGGTCAAAATTGGCCCCGCCCCAGGGGGTCATTGATTTTCCCTATATACATATAGTAAAATCTTAAAAAATCTTCTTTTAAAGAACCGAAAGAGCTAGAGCTAAGATATTTAGCATGAAACATCTTCTAATGGGTGTCTACCAAGTTTGTTCAAATAAAAGCCCTGGGGTCAAAATTGGCCCCGCCCCAGGGGGTCATTGATTTTCCCTATATGCATATAGTAAAAACTTAAAAAATCTTCTTTTAAAGAACCAAAAGAGCTAGAGCTAAGATATTTAGCGTGAAACATCTTCTAATGGATGTGTACCAAGTTTGTTCAAATAAAAGCCCTGGGGTCAAAATTGGCCCTGCCCCGGAGGTCATTCATTTTCCCTATATGTGTAAAACTATAGCAAAAATTGAAAAATCTTCTTTGAAAAAACTCAAATAGCAAGATTTTAGATATTAATCATGAAGCATCTTTTAGTGAGTGTCTTCAAAGTTTGTTCAAATAGAAGCCCTGGAGTCAAAATTGGCCCTGCCCCGGGGGACATTGATTTTCCTTATACAAGTATAGCAAAAACTTAAAAATCTTTTAAAAAACCCGAATAGCTAGAGTTTAGATATTAAGCATGAAACATTTTCTAGTAAGTGTCTACAAAGATTGTTCAAATAAAAGCCCTGGGGTCAAAACTGGCCCTGCCCCAGGTGTGTCATTGTTTTTAACTATATGTGTAAAGAAAAAACTTTAAAAAATCTTCTTTTAAAAATCCCAATGAATTAGACCTTAGATGTTTAGCATGAAACATCTTCTAATGGTTGTCTACAAAGTTTGTTCAAATAAAAGCCCCGGGCTTTAAACTGGCCTTGCTCCGGGGGCCTATGTACAGGTGAGCGACTTCAGGGCCATCATGGCCCTCTTGTTACTGTTACTGCTTTATTTCTTAAGGGATCAACCTCATACTTCAAATTTATGTACCTTATCATCATCCCATCTTATGTGACAAGGTTCATAACTCTAGCACCAATATTTTCAGATTTATCTCCCCTTGAACTTAGAATTTTCCTAAAAAAATACTATTTCTTACTGTTTCTTCTTTATTTCTTAAGGGATCAACCTCATACTTCAAATATATTTACGTTATCATCATCCCCATCTTATGTGACAAGGTTCATAACTCTAGCACCAATATTTTCAGATTTATCTCCCCTTGAACTTAGAATTTTCCATAAAAAATATTATTTTTTACTGTTACTTATTTATTTCTAAAGGGATCAATTTCATACTTCAAATATATGTACCTTATCATCAATTACATCTTATGTGACAAGGTTCATAACTCTAGCACCAATATTGCAAGAATTATCTCCCCATTAACTTAGATTTTTTTTACTAGAAAAATGTTATTTTTTACTATTACTTTTTTTAGCTCACCTGTCACAAAGTGACAGGGTGAGCTTTTGTGATCGCTTTTCGTCTGGCGTCCGTCCGGCGTCCGTCCGGCGTCCGTAAACTTTTACTTCAAATGACATCTCCTCATAAACCACTAAGCCAATTTCATCCAAACTTCACAGGAATGTTCCTTTGGTGGTTACCTTTAAAAATTGTTCAAAGAATTTAATTCCATGCAGAACTCTGGTTGCCATGGCAACCAAAAGAAAAAACTTTAAATATCTTCTTTTAAAAAACCCAAAGAGCTAGAGCTTAGATATTTGGCATGAAACATCTTCTAGTGAGTGTCTACCAAGTTTGTTCAAATAAAAGCCCTGGGGTCAAAATTGGCCCCGCCCCAGGGGGTCATTGATTTTCCCTATATGCATAGTAAAAACTTAAAAAATCTTCTTTTAAAGAACCCATAGAGCTAGAGCTAAGATATTTAGCATGAAACATCTTCTAATGGGTGTCTACCAAGTTTGTTCAAATAAAAGCCCTGGGGTCAAAATTGGCCCCGCCCCAGGGGGTCATTGATTTTCCCTATATGCATATATTATGATGTGCCTTTTTTCTTATATAAAATTATGTAATACATCATAATTAATAATCATATAAATATAAATAGGTAAAATGTTTTAAAAGTACATTTTGTTAAATTTTAACTTAAATAGTTAAAATTAATATCAAAATTTTTGTCTTTAAACATAGATTTTAAATATTTCAGTTTTATTTTGCTATTATGAACTTTGTTCCAAAACTGTTATTTGGTGGTTTTTAATTATAAATTTTCTTAAATAAGCTTTGGAATTTTAAACATTTGCAATTGTTATTTTTGGCAAATGGCTTCCATTAGCACCTTTTGTTCTGTAAAGGATGTTAGTCATTGTGTTAACTTGTTGGCTTTTAATAAGCTGATAGGTTATCACCTTGTTTAGCATTAACATAAATTACTAGAAAAACACCAAAGCTGAGAGATTTCTCAGTTCAAATGGCACCTCCCACTCTTCAACTTTGTGACAATCTTGATTTCTGGACCAATCATCACAAACCAGGTTCAGAAAGAACCAATCATCATGTTGTACCAGAAACGAAGACAAGTTTTAAAATAAGGAAATTTTGGAGCCAAAGTATCATTCTTATGCGATACTTTGGACTTAATAAATTTGTTGTTAATTAAAATACTGTCTTCGTCATTTCCAGGTATGTACAACATAATATATTTTTTATTGTTATAATGTAATTTTCTTTGTACTTATAAATGATAAATGTTAAAACTATTTGAAACAATAATCAAAACTTTATTTTTGATCAATTAAGTAATGACATTTTTATGAAGGAAATATATCTTATTCTTACATTTTTGGTGAAATTGTACTCTATTTTAATTTTTGTAAAATTGTATATAACAGAAATGTTATAAGTCATTTTATTTCATAAAATATTTACTTGTTTTAAAAATAATAATGTGAGTTCTTTATAAATAATGAAATAGGAAAGCTTAGGGCCAAGCTATTTAGTATTTAAAACAAAGACTCACTTTGCTAAATTGTTCAAGTAAATATTAAAAGAAATGTTTTAATCAATTTTTAAGTAACTATAGAAATCTATTTTTGTGATAATCTATAGTACTTTTCATATAAATGGTACCTCTCATATCGATGCCTTGGTGCGAAAGGGTTGTAACTCATAATTTCACCGAAAATGGTTTTATGGTGTTTTTCAATGTAGGAGCAATATACACACATGTTGTAAAAATATTAAACTTGAAAGCTAAAATTAAACTACCAAAAGTATATTTGTCCAAAGGTTGTAACTCAAACAGACATATTTTGTTGGTGCGAAACGGTTGTAACTTAAGTTACAACCGTTTCGCACCAACATTTTGATAATATTTTGAATAAATCCTAGTGCAAAATAGTTGTATCTCAATATCTTATATCATATTCTGTGAAATATTTAGTGGATTATTTCTTTCAAACTAATTGACAAGTTTATAAAACAGTCTCAGCTTCTGATTCCTTGTTATTTACATAATTGTTAAGCTTTCATTTAGACATAATACAAGAATTTGAATAACTTACTCATATTTCAAACATAAATCAATTCCAATGCTTGTAAAAGAAACAATATCATAGTACATTGCTATATTTGACTAACAGTACTATTATTGTGATTTTTTCTCAACATAAAAATTGTTATTGGTATAATGTTGCATTGTTTGCAAAATAGCAAGAAAAAGTAATGGACCGATTTTG